TCCCTGACACTGTCAGAGAAACATTCCAGAGAAACCTGGGAGAGCTGCAGAGTTTCTGGCACTGGCCCTCAGGGGGGGTGAGGAAGGATCAGCACTTCCAGGGGGGTGCTGTGGGGGCTGTGCTGGCTCATTGCTGGCTGGATCTGCCCCTTCGTGTCTCAGTCTCACCTTTTTGCACGGTTGCTCTGTCTTTTCCTTTCTGCTGTGCTTTTTGCCTCCCCACAAGCTGTTCATCTCTGTCCTCTGCAAGCAGTTGCAGCTGCCTGCACTGCTGCTACCCCAGCATCATCCCGGGGCTGCTCCGAGCATGGACCTGCTCCAGCCTGGTTTTGGAGCAGCTGGATCCAACTGCTTCTGAGCTCACCACCCCAGCACCCACCCAGGGGCTGCGTCCTGGCAGGGAGCAGCTCGTGCAGGTGTCCCTCCCTCCCACTGCAGGTCCCTGATCATAGTTACATTATTTTCCAGGTTCACCTCTTCACCACCTAAATTCGAAGGAGGAGAGAAGCCTCCAGGTGCCACGGGTGAGAAGCTGCCCCCAGAAGGGGGTGAAGGGCTGTGACATCCTCTACCAGCCCTGAGTGTGGCCAGAGCGAGCTCCTGTCTGCCTGCCACGGACGGGGGGAAATAATCAGGATGTCTCCTTGTGTCCCTCAGTCACGAAGAGTAGGATTGGGTGAGTTCTTTAACCAGTAGAACTGTTGTAAATGGGTTTTGAGAAAGTAACGGTGAATGGAATGTTGAGGGCTTTGTAACCAACTTTGTAAGGAGTCAAACTGACTTAATAAAGACCTGTAAAGCCAAGCCTGCATATTAGGTGAAATTACTCCTGCATGCATGGAGTGCTGCTATAAAGTAATACCTGCTTCTCAATACTACACAGGTGTTAAGGAGTTTATTCCCGATTTTCAGGGACAGGACCATATCTAATATCATTGTCTCCTTTTTATTTGCTGCTTCCCAGCAACAAAACCACAAGCTCGCCTTGCTTTCAGCAGTCTCCCAGGATCTGACAGCCCTTGGGTCTCTTGGGGAATGTGGGTGCATTGAATCTCTGGTAAGTTTAAAAAAGAAAAAGAAATCTTAATTTTTAGGGCTCAGACGGGGCACTTTAACTGCACTTTTTTACTGCCATTCTTTACACATGTTCCTTTTTCTAGGGGTGCTGAAGCACACCTGTCTCTTTCTCCAAATTTTTTGTATTTACTCAAAGCCGAATCCAGTTTGTTCTTCATGTGAATCCAACTTGCTCCTCGTGGCCAGTAGGCAGAACTGCTGCCCACTTTAACAAGGAAAAAGCACTCTGAAGTGGCTCATTAATGAGCATCAGATGACTGACTATGAGTGTGGCTTTGAAAACATGAGAGGAAGGGAAAAATTCCCTGAATT